CCCGTTCCCCGCCGGCGTCCGCTAAGCTCGCCCATTCGGGGCCCTCCTAACGCCAGGCCCCGCCCCTCTCAGGTCTTTCATTCGGGCACCGCCCCTCGTGCGTCCGCTCATTCAACCCTCCCCGCCGAAGTCCGCTAAACTCGCCCATTCAGGGCCCACCTCTAACGCCAGGCCCGCCCCTCTCAGGTCTTTCATCCGGGCCCGCCCTTTCGTGTGACCGCTCATCCAGGCCCCGCCCACCACCGGCGCCCGCTATTCGCCCATTCGGCGCCCTCCCCTGAAGCCAGGTCCCGCCCCTCCCAGGTCTTGCACCCAGGCCCCGCCCCTCCCCGTGCGTCTGCTCATCCAGGCTCCGCCCCACGCCAGCGCCTGCGGGGCTCGTTCACTCGCGTCCCGCCCCCTGATCTCATCCAGGCCCTGCTTCCTGACGCCCGGCCCTGCCTGTCCTGGCTTCTCATCCGGGCCCCGCTGTGTTCACTCGTTCAGGCCCCGCCCCTGACGTCCGGCCCTGTCCATTTCAGACTTCGCCCTCAGGCCCCGCCCCCGACGCCCAGCCCCGCCCCGTCTGCCCACTGTTCTGCTTGACCCCGCCCCCTTCCAGCCAGGCCCCGCCCCGTGCCGCCCCTTCTGCAACCGCCCGGCCTTCAGGCCCCGCCCCCGGCAGCGCCAACCGAGGAGTCCTGATCCCGCTTAGCAGCCCCGCAGGGCCCCTGATCTCCGCCAGGCGAGCTTTTGGCTGTCTGCGCCGCCTGGTAGGGGGAGGCTGCAACCCGCTGAGCTCTGGGGCACCTGCAGGGCTCTCCACGTGGGAGGTGGAGGATTGCAAGAGTCTCAGCGCCTGCCCGTCGAGGCCTGCTCCAGAGGAGGCTTCAGTGGAGCGCGCGAGCAGGAGGGGTGTCTGTCCGGCCCAATCAGTCACCCCGAGCTGAAAGTGGGGCAGTGGACAGGCGCCCTCGCCGTCGCCCTTTGCACCGGGCGCTCCCACCACGAGCTTCCCCACAACCCAGGTCCTGCCCGTGGGCGAGTGGGAACCTGCGTTGTGAAGCCGGGGATGGGCTCCGCCTGCCGCCCAGCACCCCCGGGGTCCAGGCCTCCCGGCACCGGGCTTCCCCGCAGACCCCTGCTCTGCCCCCCGGGTCTCACCTTCTGGCCTCCTCGGGATGAGGCTGGCAGACCCACGCGCTGCCCCCTCCCGGATCAGGCTCCCTCTCGAGACCTAAGGCTTGGGGTTTGCCCAGAGCAGGCCGTGCTGCAGACGGCTGCGGCAGGAAAGGGATAGGAAAGGGCAGCTGGAGCCTTGAAAGCTAGACACAACGGCGAACTTCCCCTGTCCCCAGTGGGAGCTGGCTGAGCCAGGAGAGCTTTGCCAGTGGGGCTACCTGGGGTGTGAGGGCAGGGCGGGGATGGACGTGGGTCTCAATGTCACTCAGTGCCTCCTGTGGCTCAGGCATGTGATGTAGTAACTGATGAGACCAGAGGATCCTCTGAGAAGTGGGAGAGAGACCCTGAGCACATGACCAGACAAAATAATATCAAAAAACAATCTGAAGAAACTTGAAGGGGCAGGGGCACCGAGTGGTCCTAAGGAGAAAGGTGTGAGCTGAGCAAGAACCAGCCATGCACAGCAGCAGGGAGCCTGTGTCAGCAGAGGGCAGGATGGTGCAAAGGCCCTGGGGCAGGGAGGAGACTGAGGCTTGCTAGTGGGGAGAGCCACAGAGGACAGTGGGAGGCGCTTCCTGGCTAAATAGGGAGTGCTGCCCTGGGCCACGTCTAGTGGGGAGGGGTCCATGGCCCACCCAGGTAGGGCCTGGGGCTTCAGTTCACCTCCCCCAGCCCTTCAGAGAGCCCTGGGCCCCTCATGTGCAGAACTGGGAGGGTGGCATAGGTGGCACTGGCTATGGGCAGGGCTGTGGCAACAGAGAAAGTGGTCACGTGGGGAGGCTTCCTGTCCACCCAGGTCCCTCCCTCTGCTCTGGCTCTCACCCCCCATCCCCAGCCTTCCCAGGTGGGGGCAGGGTCTCTTAGCCCTCTGCGAATTCTAGGTTTTGTTATGAAAATGCTCTCCCCCACCCAGCTTCCTCCCTTTCACTGTTGACCTTCAGGGAACCCAGGCAGTCTCTCTGTGTGCCTGCCCCCAGCTCCTGCGAGGGCAGAGGCCAGAAACGGGGCGAGGCCATTCAGCTCCTATTCCCCCTTTCTGAGCAGCCACAGGGCCACCTCTGCCCTAAAGGCCGCCCTGCCCCCAGACAGGGCCCAGAGGTCAGTCGATGGCAAGGGGCTTCCTGGACCCCCCACCCCCCGAATAATTGCTTGGAAGGGTCTGAGGCTCTGGGCTGATGTTTTCAAATACAGAAATAGAGTGTGGCTTTGTTCATCCGGCCTCCGTAGCCTTCAGAGGTGTGAGGCCATGGAGGACAGTGCGGAGGGGGCTTAGGTCCCCCTGAGGGGTTAACCTTTCTGGGTTCCTTCTGGGCTTCCTTAGCTCTCCCAGGAGGGGACCAGCCGCCCTCTCTCCAGAGCTCCCGGCAGTCCTCCTGGGAGGACTCATCAGGAGCCTTCCCTTCTAGGAGAAAGCTTCTGGGGCGCTGGTGGGCGGGAACTCTGGAACACCTGCCGGAAGCCATGCACCACCTGTGGACAGCCCCACGTGCCCCACGTGCATGTCTTCATGGCTCGATGCCCCACCTGGGACTCTGACCTCTCTGGGGTCTGCCAGGGCCCACGCCACACCCCCCCTACAGTTGACAATCTCCAGCTGCTGTGCATGGGGGAGTCATTGTGCCTGCTTTGATCCTTGCAGCACACATGTTTGCCCTCTCCTGCCCCAAAGGATGGGTGCTTTGGAAGGAGGAAGCCCGCATGGGTTAAAGGACCCACGCGGCCGCAGGACTCCAGGTGACGGGTTGCCTGACTGTCCAGACAGTGGCTGCCAGCACCAGTGGTTCTCACGCCGTTTGAAATGTGCCAAGTGCAACCTTTTAACATTAATTAGACAAAATTTCATCTAATGTGGAATAGCCCTGTGGGGCTGGTAGCTTCAAGTTGAACAGGGAACTTCTAGAACTGGGTTGTCTGGGCTCCAACCTCAACTCAGCTACCCACGCGCAGGACGTTGGGCAAATGGTTCAACAGCTCTGCGCCTCAGTTTTCCCATCTATGAGACAGGATGGGGGCGATGCTTCCCAACTGGGGGTCTGAAGGCCCCTCAGCTGGTGTGTGTATCTCAGGGGTCACATCACCGGCCCCTAGCTTGGGGTCCCTCGGGTCTGGCTGGGGCTTGGGAAGGTGCATTCCCAGCAAGTTCTCTGGGGCTGCCGGGACCCCACTTTGGGAACCACGGCTTTAAAGGTGCCAACAGGGCCACAGGTGAACTTCAGGGCACCCACCTGCATCCCCTCTACTCCCCCTCTGTGCCCCTGGGCCCACCACCCCTCCCCACCCC